ACAATGAAGGAGTGTCCTCAGGGAGGGAGTGTGGTCCTGATTGGAGCCCTGCATTTGGACTTCTGGCTTCCAGAACTGTGAGAGAGTAAGTTTCTTTTGCTGTGTGACTTAGTTTCTTTTCCAGTTGTTGTGATAAAATACTGCCAAAAGCAACTTAAGGGAGAAAGAGTTTGTTATAGCTCACAGTTCCAGGGAATAGTCCATCACAGCAGGGAAGCCAAGGCAGTGGCTTAAAGCAGCTGGTCGCATCCCATCCACCATCAGGAAGCAGAAAGGGATGAATGCTCAGCTCCTCTCCACTTACAAGGTCCAGGATCTCATCCAGGGAATAGTGCCATTCACAATGAGTGGGGCTTTCCATCTTAATTAACGCAATCAATATAATCCCCACAGGCATGTCTCAAGCTACATCTCCTTGGTGATTCAAGATTCTATGAAGCTGACAATTAAAACTAGCTACCTGTGGTATGTTTAATGAGAAATATCTGTTATAATCTCAGGTATTTGAACACTTTAGTCCCAAGTTGGTGACATTGTGGAAGTTATGGAACTTTTAGGACTAGCCTTGCTGAAGGTATTCACAGAAAAGACTTTATTGATCATTTATCAATTGTCTCCCTCCCTTTGGGAGTAGAGGCAAACATATAATTTTGTAAGAATTAACATTACTAACATCTGTGTGATGAGAGATATTTATATCACAAACTAGATGTTAAAGTTTCTTTGGATAGTGTCTTAGTTACCTGCAGACAAGACATGTTGCTGGGGCAGTAGACAAGAGCTTACATCAGATCCACAAGCACCAGGGAGACTGAGATAACATAAAAGCTTGGGCATTTGAAACCTCAAAGTACCCAGTGACACACCTCCTCCAACAAGTCCACACCTCCCAACCCTTCCCAAACAGTTCTACCAACTGAGGACCAATTATCCAAACATATGAGTCTCTGCGTGCCAATCTCATTCAAACAACCACAGAGAGAGACCCAACACAAAGGCTTCAAGAGGCCAACTAGCATCTACTTCAAGGCTTACATTTCTATACTAGCTTTCAATTTGCTAAATAATTTGCATAGAATTATGACAATTTTTCTCCCATATTACAACACATAAAGAACCACTGTTAGTAGTGACACAGGAAGGACATATTCACCTTGTTCCTAGGGTCAGCAAGATGAAATAGTTTAAGCAAATCTATGTATGTGCTCCTTGAGGGAATGAGAAACATGGCCTCCATATCACACTGAGTGATGGAACTGCACAGCTTTATGTCTCTCTCCCTATTTTTCACTCTCCCTGATGTCTCTTGTGGTATGTTCAAAATGACAGAGAGCTGCATTAATAGATTGAAAACACCTATGGTTAGCATAGGAGGAACCTGGAGAGAAATGCACTAAAGCACATTATTTTTAATATTTTAATTGCCAAATTTCCTAAGTAAGATTATATGATCCTTATATAAGGATTTGCCTTCCCCTTACATTGCCAATGTTATCTTCCATTTCCCTCCTCCATGGTTCTCAAAATTAGCCAAAGTAAATGTTTTATTTATCTTGATTATACTTAAGATCAAGTAGCATACCTTTATGCCTCATGCTGTTTTTCCTAAAGCCCTAGAATATGATTAAAACTCTTGAGGGCCAGTGAGGTGGCTCAGCTAAGCAAACCTTGACAACCTGAACTTGATACCCAGAACCCATGCAAAGATGGAAAGAAAGGATGGGCTCCTGGGTGTTGTCCTGACCTCCACATGATTAGTGTGTGCCACATTTTAAAAAAATGTCTTTTTTCCAAAGCCAAGACCAGTATTAATTTCTTTGCTGAACATGAATGATTCGCTTATATTTCCTCCCTAAAGATTCTGTGAAACCTATTTTAACCATTTTGGAAAAGAGCCCACAAAGCCATGTGTGAGTATTTATGTGGGTATTCTGTATTTCTGATAAGAGCACCTTCCTCTGTCCTGCATATTACCTCATTTACAGACGATTATTAGAGGCTGGCTGAGTAGTTTGGGTATCTGGGCAATCCCATCCATGATCACATCTAGGAGTGTCAAATTCATATCATTCCTGTTCTAACCCATTCATTGTTTGTTTTTTATAATTTCTTTATTGAATTTTTGGGGGTTTCACATCACACCCCAATTCTGTTAACCTCTCAGTCCCTCCCATATTCTCCTTCACCTCTGTTGCATCCCTCCCCCACCACAAAGGAAAGCAAAGTAAGCAAGCAAACAAAAGCAAGAACAAAGAGAGAAAACCCAATAAACAAAAACACAACAAAAAACACACCCCAAACAGCAAAATCTCCGCTTCTCCTTCTCTCCTACTTCTCTATCACCTCTTCATCCATCCTGATGGCATTGGAGGCTTCAGTGTGTCATATAGTATACTTCTTTGTCCCATCAGCTTGACTGGCAGCTGTCCAAACCAACGAGTCATTGGTTTGGTTCAAGGCCTCTGGTCTTTTGGTACACCATCCTCAATGGATCTTCACCGGAGCTCTTCAGGGGTATTCTGTGTCTTGAAGATCTTGCAGGCATCATTCAGTACATGCTAGGGTGTGTCAACCCAAGGCCTATTTGTGGGCCTGGGTGTTAGCCAGTCAGGTCAGATTGAGCCCTGCATGCATGCCCTCAGGGTAGGTTCATCCTTACCTGTGGTGAGGGGTGGGGCCCCTCTCTCTTGAGTGTAGGGGCAAGCTCTCTTGCTGTAGTGGGCATTGAGAGGCAAGGCCAGCTTTCCCAGGGCAGCAAAGGGCAAAATTGACTCAGTATAGCCCTCTGATTTCATATTGAATGATTCCTAAGGCCTCCTGAGGTGCCACTGGCCACAGATATCAACACAGACCTCAGCTGTGGCTGGACCATGAACCCAGACATGGCCCTTAGCAGAAGTTTAGCCCTGAACGATATCCTGGCTCTGCCAGCCATTGTTTTTAACTAATAGAAAGCATACGGAGAAGAGGTTGCAGTGATCTCGAAGTCAGGTTGGTTCACAGTGGGAGGATGATGCCAGTGAAGCTTCACAGTTACAACCGACATAGTGGGTCCTTCCCATAGAAGACTTTTCTGCTTATCCTGTCCTCACCACCCACCCCAGTAATATGCATAGGATACCTCTTCTCTCCTGTGGCTTTTACAGTGCTCATTTGGTGGAGGGATAAAGGAATCCACAGACATATTTTGGTGGATTTTTCTAGTGAAATAGTATAATTCACAAAATAGTAAACAAACACATACTATTAAAAAATAGTAAATAAGCTAAATCCCTCAAGGGAAATTTGTTTTCCCCTAAAGGTTATAGTAAGATTCTACTAGCATGGCTGGTCTGGAAAACAGGATAAGTGGAATTACAAATAATGGAATTGTGAAAATAGGTTAGCATACTGTCATATGCAATTAAGAGGGTAAGAACATAGGAATTGAATGGAGTGATAGATATGAAACTGATAAAAATGGACAAATCTTGAGAAGGGAATAGATGCCCTGGATAACCTACAAGAGAATAATTTTGGTGTGCCATTTTACTGTTTCAATGTGCCCTATATGTTTCTATTGTTTTCAATAAAAATATGGAAGGAATAGCAATTACTGCTTCCATCCCTACAGGGAACTTAGTAAACAAAGTCATAAACGTGGACATCTTAGTTATGGTTTCTATTGTTGTGATGAAATACCAAGACCAAAAGCAATTTGGGGAAGAAAGGGTTTATTTGTCTTCTATTTTCAGAATCACATTCTACTAAGCCAAGGTAGGAACTCAAGTCAGGCAGGAACCTGGAGACAGAAGCTGATGCAGAGGCCATAGAGCGCTGCTTATTGGCTTGCTCAGCCTGCTTTCTTATAGAACCCAGGACCACCAGCCTAGGGATGGCACCACCCACAATGAGCTGGGTCCTCTCACATCTATTACCAAGAAACTGCCTTACAGGCTTTCTTTGTTTCTCTTTTTTTTTTTTTTTTTTTGTTTTTTTTGTTTTTTTGAGACAGGGTTTCTCTGTGTAGCTTTGGAGCCTATTCTGGCACTCACTCTGGAGACCAGGCTGGCCTTGAACTCACAGAGATCCGCCTGCCTCTGCCTCCCGAGTGCTGGGATTAAAGGCCTGTGCCACCAACGCCCGGCTAAAACTGCCTTACAGGCTTCCTAACAGCCCCATTTTATGCAGGCATTTTCTTAATCCAGGTTCCCTCCTCTTAGATGACTTTATCTTGTGTCAAGTTGACATAAATTTATCCAGAACAGTGGGTAAGGGTTGTGACAGTTCATCTTAATTGTCAACCTGACTGGACTTATACTCACCATGAAAACACACTTCTAGGCTTGTCTATTAAATATTTTCAGAAATTTGAAACTGAGCAGGGAAGATCCATCCTAGATATGAGCTGCTCATCACACCTGCTGGGGGGGTCCTGACACCAGCATTCACCTGTTTTCTGACTGCAGATACCATATGACCATCTTTTTTACATTCCTGCTACCATACCTTCCCAACCTTGATGGATTGCTTATTTTTTACACCATGAGCAGAATAAATCCTCCTTGCATAAGAAACCTCTGGTTGGGTATTTTGTTGCAGGAACAAGTAGCTAATACAAGGATGAAGCTCAGTGGTAGAACCTTTGTATGGTAAGACTCTGAGTTCAAATCGCAGCACCAACGCACACACACGGGGGGGTGGGGGGTACACCTTAGATGGCTCTCTGTATTAAGTAATACACTCAGGTTAGTGCATTTAGCCAAATGCAGTAGTTAGGCAGGATGCAAAGCTGCGTCACTTAAAAATCTCCAAAAAGCATTACTCCTGCATTATGTTTCCTACTATATGTGATATATTGGTCTGAGTGGTTTACATACAATCACAATCATTTACTAAATGCTCACAGTCACCCCATAGGCCAGGTCTTTTTTTTTCTTTCAGAGAGAAAACAAAAGTAAAGTAAAATAATTTGCCCAAGGTACGTGTCGCAGGCTGTGATAAAACACCATGAGCAAAAGTAACTTGAGGAGGAAAGGGTTTATTTCAGTTTACACTTCCACATCACACAATCCATTACTGAAGGCAGGAATAGGACAGGAACCAGAGGCAGGAACTGAAGCAGAGGCCATGGAGGAGTGTTGTTTACTGACCTGCTCAGCATGTGTTCTTACAGCACTCAGGGCTACCACCCCAGTGGTGGCACCACCTAGAGAGCTGAACTGTTCCACATCATCAATCAAGAAAGTGCACCACAGGCTTACCCACAGGCAAACCTGGTAGGGGAATTTTCTGAATTGGGGTTCCCTCTTCTAAAAAGGACTCTAGCTTGTGTCCCGTTCACACAGAACTAGCCAACAGAATTGTCTGTGATTAGTAAGAGACCAGAGCCACAAGTGTGAAACCTTTGTTTTGCTGTGACAATTGATACTGGCCAACTGAAGCTGAGATATCAGCAGTGATTAAGAAAAGACTGGCATCATAGAGGTGAAATCTTCTGGAACTGTTTCCTCTGGGTCAGCACACAGAAGCTGTGTCCCAGAGGCATCCAGGGATGTATCATGTGCTGTTAGCTGATGTTGATAGTATAAGAGTCACTCAGGTGGTACTGGTTTTAAAGGTGTGAAGTGTTCATGGAGAGCAGTTGAGTCTTGGTACTGTGTGGGAGGGCTACAGTTCCTGAGGAGATTCCATTGGTGAAGTTACAGACTTAGTTGCTGTAGAGACCCAGGATAGAAGGGCTCATGGAGAGAAGTTGAGGCCTGGCACTATGTGGCAGCGTTAGAGTCCTTAAGGAGAGGCCATTGGAGGCTACTGGCAAAGATACAGGCTAGTTGCAGAGACCCCAGTATTTGGGGATGACAGTACCATGGGACATCCACCAAGGACTTGCTGTAGAGTGGAGCCAGCTTAAACCTATGAGACAAACTATGTGTGCTGCAGACTAGGCAATAAACTTAATCAACATAACCCCTCACAAGTTTTCCCAGAAGACTGTCTCTGACATTGACAAATGAGACAGAGTATCACAAGGCGAATGGTACAATGTAAAAACTCTCCACTAGGTTATATTCAGACATGTGACACAATTTTCCCTCTGTAGAATATAATTATAACTTTTGAGGGCAAATTTGTAGACACACTTAACTGATTCATTCTACAACAGACAAAGTGATAAAGTCCAAATCAGTGCAATCAGAACCTTGGGTTCTGTTACTTTCCTAAAAATTATGCCTTAACATTGATTGCTGTGTTTTCTGCTGGAACCATGACATCACTAGTATAAAGTCTTAGTTCTAAATAAATTTCTCTTGACAAAAATTCTAATGATACAAAAGAGTCATGCATCATAAGTTTGGAGAGTTTTATAGGTTTCAAAAGTACTTATTGGGTCACTGAAATGGCTCAGCAGGTTAAGGACACTTGCTGCCAAGCCTGATGACCTGAAGTGATCTCCAGTCCCACATAATAAAGACGACTAATTCCTGCAAGCTGTTCTCTCACCTCCACATGTTCATGCCTATAAACATAAATGGATACACACAAAATAGAAAAATATTGTCAATGTTTCTTTTGAAAAAAAGACTATTGAGGCTAGGGAGGCGACTCAGTGGGTAAAAGTGTGGCTATACAAACTTGACAACCTGAGTTGGATCCACAGCACTCACATAAAAAAAAAATTCAACACTCACTAATATTGTGTATTAAAGAAAAACACATCTTGAATCCAAATCTACCCCAAAGCCTCTATTTTGCCAACTGTGAGGAAGAATATCTTGTACATAAACATTTTTCTTTGTGTAATACACACTCTGCACCACAGGTTTCCAAACTTAAAGGCTCAGGAACTGGTTTCGTGGTTGGAGTGCCTGCTGTGTGACCATAAGGTCCCAAGTGTGGAGTCCCAGCACCCATGTAAAAAGCCATGCTGGTACTGAAATCCCAGAGCTCAGAGGTGGGGACAGGAAGATCCAGGGCAGCTGCTGGCCACAGTGAGCTCCAGACTCAGTGAGACCTTGTTTTCAAATGTAAGATAGAGAGGTGAGAGGAAGCTATCCACACATAAACCACACATTGTGTATATCACAAAAAGATTTTATATCAAAAATTTTGAAAAAAGAGTATCTTGTTAAGAAACTCAATGGACCAAGAAAAGCTCTCATAATAACCATGTTTAGCTTTCTTTGTGAGTCAAATAGCAGGCAAATTTACAACTATTGCAAAGGAAGTGATAAAGCAACTTAGATCTAAGTGAGATTCCAGAACCAAATGTCCACAGTCCAAAATAAATAAGAGACTCACTGCCAGGCAGATCCGAGTCCTCCAGGGACTGGCTATTAATGAAACTGCTACAAAGTCAGTGACTGAGCAAAGTTTTGTGTTTTGCTGCTTTTTTTAATCATAAAATAATTATTTTAATGGTGTATTTGAAATAATTTTAAACATCTGACCAACAAGATTACACAAATGTGGGAGCATACTGCACTTTACAAAAAATAAAGCTAAGCATTTAAATATACAAACAACTTTGGGTATAGATTTCTTGTTAAGTTACTTTTTTTAACATATACACAATTTACGGCATTTTACATAACTTGCTAAAACAAAAACTGTGGCTAATTAAACTCTTAACAACAGTAATAGAATCTGGGTTTAACAGACCCCATGGGAAGAACAGGATGGAGAGTGATATACTAGAGGTGTTTCCCCTGAATCCTTCCTCTAGCATTTTCCTGTAATTAGCTTCTGGGAGGGTGTGGCATTCTTTCGATATGCAATTTCAATTCCACTATTTTTTTTTTTAATGGGAGAGCACAAATGCAGTCCACTATTATTTTTTTCAATTATGATCTACACAGGCAGATTCTAAAAACTGGGGGGGGGGTACTTTAAATATCAGCTTACTCCTCAGAGAGTGGTGCATAATGTGTTGCTCACATTTAGAGCCACTTCCCTAAGGGTGAGACACTGAAAGCACCTCTAAGTAGACAATCTGAAGGGTGTCCTAGAATATTTTTGCTAGCAGTTAGAAGTTTTGAAAAGCACTAGATGCTTAAAACATAGGGTAAATGGGAGATTCTTTACAAAAGAAAGAAAGAACTCCATTTTAAAACATAGGGTAAAAGGGAGATTCTTTACAAAAGAAAGAACAAACTCCATCTTGGAAATTAAAATAATACAAAAACAAACTGTCCTCTTCTGAAATACTATAACTAAATGTTTGTCAGGTTTTCTTCTTTGGTTGATCAATAATTTTCTTTTTCCATCACCAAAACAAGGACCAGCTTTGGCATTCCAAGTGCAGCCACCCTCCCTGGGCACACAGTACACAAATCTGTTTCATAATGCTGTTTTCATTTTTCCCCTGTCAATTTGAATATAAGGCCTCCTCATATCCCTTCCAGTACTTTCTAGTTTTTACATTTTTCAGTGAGGTATATGAGTAGCAATTTCAGTTTTAAAACTTAGCTAACAAGGATTCCCCTTACTAGGTATCAGAAACAGTGCAGTGTGGGGAGCCAGAGTCAGCAACCTCAGGCACAAATGGTCCCATCCACTCTATTTGTAATTCTAGCTCAACTAACACAAGTTGAAACTGACCCTACTGTGTGGTTTGTCACACTTCAATTCCAGAAGGTAACTGTCACAATTAGCTAATTAACTTCTAATTGCAGGCATAAAATCTAACACTAGGAGACAGGTTCAGTATAAGATACATTCTGACTCTCCCTTTCTCCTACATCTAGATGCAGCCTGTATCAGAGGGAAGCACCTTATTGCTATGGTGTAGAAAAGAAAACAGAAAACGAAAGTGGTAAGAGGGAGCCCATAGCTGCTGTAATGCAGGTGGGAAGGTGATACTTCTATATATAAAGTATACTTGGTACTGACTTTCAGGAAGCATCTGAATTCTCATCTGCAAGAACCCACAGGACATACAGACAAGATGTAGGAAAAAAAAAAAAAAAACTTGTCAGTGTAAACAGAGGTCTTCCATACTGGTGACTATTTTCCAGAGTAAATTTCAGGACAGGACAACAGTGCTCTCTATATCTTCTTTGGCAGTAAACAGTGAGCAGATGGATGGATGGATATGGATGGATGGATGCAGTGAGTGATCACTTTAGAAGGGCAAGGTATAGGGCTCGAGAATACTTCATTTCTCTTTCCTGCTCCATACAGAATATCAAGTCCCTGAGGCAGATTCTTGTGATTCTTGGACGAAGCAATGGTTTGGTGGCTGTTAGGCTGGATGTCCCAGAAGCAGAAGGGTTATCTTTGAAGCCCTAAATGGGGGATGGGAGGGGGAGAGAGAATTGGTTAGTTTAAAATAATGACAAGGACTCTCATAAAGAAAAATCTGTTTCCTGTGGCACATAGGAGCCCACTGTCCATTGGGAAGGTATTATGGAAGGCTAAACCCACTGGGGTCATGACATGACATCAGTCACTCTATCTCTTGGCCTGGCAGCAGCCTCTGAAATAATTTCTTCTCTTCCAGGTGCTCTTTTGCTCCACTCCCCTGCCCCTTCCAGGTTAGACTTCCCACTTGGAAGATTTTACAAACAACTTCAAAGTGATGGATGAATTTATTTTGATCATGGTACTGATGAAGGGTTACATAAACATAAAACTCCACTATCTCAAAGGACAACAGTCTTTTGTGCATCAACAGGAAGACTAAACATAACAAAAGCCCATTATGGCTCATATCTCATCATGCCACAGTGCCAAAAATTCTTAATGGCTCCCTGGTGACCAGAGCATCACCTGAAATTTTGTCTCCTTTCTTTCATACAATATTACAGCAAGGTCTGTGAGGGCTATTTCCCACGTCTCAAACCAAACAGGAAAATGATCCTGGCCTGGTGAAGTCATGTGTCCTAAGCCTCACAGCAAGGTAGAATAGAACTCCATTTTTACTTTGATCTGAAATTAACCACTGTGCTATGCTCTATTATTTATTGATAGTGCCATTCTGGTTTCCTCCAATCATACACTTCCTATCCTCTTTTACAAGGACGCTAGCATGTTTCTCTGCAATAGGATATTTCCATACCATCACAAACCAGCAGAAGCTTTCGAAGCACAATGACTACTATTTATAGCCCCCACCCCCAACTTTGCAAGTGAGGCAACAGCATGATTATCCGTAACATTTTGTTTTTGAAAAGGGGTCTCACTATTTAGCTCTGGTTGGCCTGGAACTTTACTTGCCTCTTGCTCCCAAGTGTTGAAGTATTGGCATTAAAGGCAATGAACTACTACACTTAACCTAACAATATTTTCTTAACGAATTTACTGATTACAAACAGAACAATCAATGTAAGAATTAAATTCATCCAAGAATAAACTAAAACCCAGTACTCCTGCATTAAGACAGTTTCCTAAACACTGACATCTATGCATTATTATGCTAACTTTTTAATTTATTATTATTATTTTGTGGGGTAGAGGGGTGGCACATGCATGCTATGGTATATATGTGTGGGCCAGAGAACAACTCTGTGGAATTGGTTCTCTCCTAAATTTATGTGGGTTCTAGGAATCAAACTCAGGGTGTCAGGCTTTTGTGGCAAATACTCTATCCACTGAGCCATCTTAATGTCACTTTTTTAAAAATGAAGATAACAGCAGTCTTACTAGCTATGACATCTATGAACCACATGAGCAACCAGCGTGGCATGGTAACCCTTTGGTTGTAATAGTGCCATGCACACCTTGGCAGTGATTGATCAACGGCTCTCTAATTGGACTTCAGACTCACTCGACAAAAAGGAGATCATGCCTGGTACTGGAAACCTAGCTGACTACTCATTGCTAGTAAAATGGTGGGTACTGGAGGAGAATCTACCATCACTAATTTACTAAACTAACATAACCCCTAACCACAATCCATAAACATTTGTCAGTCTTCATCCCTCATCAAGGAAACCTCTCTTTGCAACAGTCAGAGACCACTACAGAAAGCCACAACCAATAAAAATGCAGAGTTGTAGAGCCCTGTCCCGATAGACACATCCACAACACAACTGAAATTCCACCCAAGGCTCAAAGATCATTACAGAAGAGGGATTAAGTTTGCTGTGAGATTGAGTCTTCTATTAATATCATAAGATATACAAATAAAGTCTCACCAACATGACCACCCAAATGTGAGGAAGAATGGAACATGCCAAACTGTTTAGGGAAAAGCCCATGAGGCCTCAACCCAAGAGAAAGCACCATAGGATACTGAGGAAAGTATATGCCAATTAATTGTCCAGTGCCAAAGGGTCAGTCCTGAAAACATATATACAAGTAATATATGGATTCAACAGGCTAATTTAGCAAGGTACATGCATGTATAGAACACACACACACACACCATATACATATATATATATATATATATATATATATATTTATGAAGTCACTTGTATTCTTCACTCACTAGGTGCCAATCCTTAGGAATAACACTTAGCTCCTATCACTAGTACATTCTATAGTGCCCCCACATTCCATGTAAGCCAGTCAGGTGGATCTCTGAGTTTGAGGCCAGCCTGGTCCACAGAGCAAGTTCCTTTGTAGCCAGACAGAGCTACAAAGAGAAACCCTGTCTCAAAAAACCAAACTAAATAAATTAATAAGTAAAATAAAAATATTTTAAAAGGAATTATTATTATTATATTATTATTGTGTATGTGTGTGTGTGGTACATATGAGTGCTGATGGCTACATACCATATTAAATGTATAGATGTCAGAGGACAACCTTTAGGAGTATATTCTTTCCTTCTATCATGAATTCCAGGAATCAAACTATGGTTATTGGACTTGGACAGTAAGCACTTCTACCCTCTGAATCATCTTGCTTGTACCAAACAAAGAATGATTTAGAAGGATAATTGTATAAAAGTAAAACTCTTGGTCAGTGACCAAGCCAGAGGCCCTGAAGCTGGGAGAAGGAGAGAGCCTCAGCAGCTGAGCAAGAGGCCCAAAAGCATCAACAGCAGTGACTTCCAGTCACTATCTTAGAAGTGCCTCTGGGCATGCTGAGAGACAGTAACAGTGCTGCAGTAGGCCACAGCAGGAGACAAAACTGTTTAACCACCTGAGCCTTGGTCTCAGCCCCGCCTACACCTACAGGAGAGATCACCACAGTCTTGGCCCCGCCTACCCCTAGAAAAAAGACCATCTGAGCCTTGGGCCCATCACACATGAAGGAGTGATCATTGGTGATTCAACCGTACCTGCACCTGAAGGAACATTCAAGGGAGCAACAGTCCGCAACTATACCAATTGGAGGAAAGGGGCTGACCTGAAATACAGACTCTACCTGTACCAATTAGAGGAAGAGATGGATAGAGAACAGTGTAAGAATACACTCAACAATACAAAGAGCAATACAGCACTACCAGAAACTAATGGTAGTAAGAAACCAGCTGGCGTAGCTATCCTAATATCTAACAAAATAGTCTTCAAACTAAAATTAGTCAGAGAGATACAGGTCATAACATATTCATCACTGGAAAAATCCATCAAGATGTAGTATCAATGCTGAACATCTATGCCTCAAATACAGAGGCACTCACATTTGTAAAAGAAACATTACTAAAGCTTAAATCACACATCAATCTCCACACAGAAATAGTGGGAGACTTCAAGATTCCACTCTTACCACTGGACATGACTTCCCAAGCAGAAACACAACAGAGAAATAAAGGAAATAACATGTTACAACTCAAATGGGCCTAACAGACATCTATAGAACATTCCACCCAAACACAAAAGATTATAACTTTTTCTCAGCACCTTATAGAATCTTCTCTAAGATTGCAAACCTCAGCAGATACAAAAAAAATTGAAATAATGACCTGTATCTTATCGGATCACGTGGCTTAAAGTTAGTATTCAACAAAAACACTAATTGCAGAAAGCCCATAAACTCATGGAAATTGAACAATGCTCAACTGAATCATCACTGGGTCAATAAAGAAATTAAAGACTTCCTCAATTTAATGAAAATGACAACACAACATAATGAAATGTATGGGACACAGATAGCAGTGGTAAGAGCAAAGTTCATAGCAATAAGTGCCCACATGAATTGAAGAAGCTAGAAAAATCCTACACTAATTAATGACTTAACAACTGAAAGCTCAAGAACAAAAAGAAGCAAACTCACCCAGAAGGTGTAGACAGCTGAAAATAATCAAATTGAGGACTGAAATCAATAAAATAGAAACAAAAAAATAGAAAGAATCAATGAGACAAAGAACCAATTCTTTGAGAAAATCAAATTGACAAACTTTTATCCAAACTAACCAAAGGACAGAGACAGATTATTCAAATTAATAAAATCAGAAATGAAAAGGGGGA